TCTAATTATCTAATTATTTGTAGGATTAGTTAATTCTCTGATTATCTAATTATTTGTAAGAATATTCAATTCTCTGATTATCTAATTATTTGTAGAATTAGTTAATTCTCTGATTATCTAATTATTTGTAGCAATATTCAATTATCTGATTATTTAATTACTTTTAACAACAGTCAATCATCTCACAACTAACATCGTTCTTCTAAAACTAGATTCCAGCGCAAAAAGTTAATTATTTTTTCTAAATCATTAATACACTGACCATCGTTGTGACTTTCCTCCATTTCTCGATTGCTTTTCTAACGCCAATTTCAAAATGCTATTAATATCACTAAACGAATCTACATTAACTTCCAGTAAATTTTAACAAACAACCCATACTAACCACTACTCAATATTAAAAAGACATCTTGCAAAAACAAGACACGAGAGAATAAGAATTCTACTATGACTTATTGCACATATGCAACGTTTGCAATGAACAATACCATTTTTGGTCAACTTAGATCTATCGCTTCACATCTTCGCGAAACTAATAATACAAAAAACATGTCGAACGAATCCAAACATATATGTTTACAAGCGAATATTTCCGTGAATATAAAATTCTATAGTCAAACTTGTTTTTGTGCGGTCCTTTTCTATGCGATCTTTTTTGAGCGATTTTTTTTTATCCGGTATACGAATTCCAACGGTGTTGTTGTTTTTCAAGTGACGAAAGCAATTTTGAACCAGTTCATGACAAGAAGATGTGAGTTTTGGACTACGAGTAGCAGTGAATTATATACATTGTAAAAATTCTCCATGCATGAGAAATTAAATTTTTTTTAAATGATTCCACGTGTAATTTAATTATTTATTTTGTTTGAAAGCACTCTCTCACTATTTCGTAAATTTCTGAACATTTCTTTTTGTGCGGTTTACGCGGTCCCTATCTACACAAAAACAGGTCTGACTGTACTTCAGAAGGTAAACAGGAAAAGAGTATTTCCAACAAACCGATGCCAAAGTAAATTCCAACGAGATAGTTCCCCGAGATTTCGAATACTAATTTTTACGGATACTTGATTGTCTGGCCGTATTGCCGGGAACATAAAATTTTATTGTAACGCGCGAGAGGGAAATGGGAAAACAGCATTTCATAGCGAAGCTGTGGCCCACGCAACAAACTCGAACGAGAAAGTTCTTCGCGATTTTGAATACAAGGTTCTTCAGCATCATTTCCGCTCCGCTGGACCTTACTTCGACGGATTACTACCTTTTTCCATTCTGTCCGGAACGCTTCTAGCGATATTTCCTTTCGCAATGTTGCGGCCATGGAAACCGATCTCGAAATTCGCTCGGAAAACCATTGGCGCTTCAAGTGCAGATTTGGAAAATGACTCGGCCGCGCGGGATAAAATCATTTCGAAAAATATTGACAGTAGAGAATCTGTTCGAATTTAATCTGAACATATTGAGGAAAAAGCAATAAAATGAAAGTTTAGTTTTCGAGGTGAGTGAGAGAGGTGACTCTCACTGTTAAAATATTTCTAGTGAAAAACTTCCGAATGCAAAGGGTTAAATCCCTAATTCCTAAGATCTAAATGATCATTCAGGATAACAATTTTCTAACAATAGAACAAACTGTGCAGTAATTGTCAGTAAATTTAGCGTTAAACTGGATGAATCTCTAATTTGCATTTCATGAACGTTCTAAAAAGGACGTCAACCGGTGGATGGTTCGATAAACTGACACGCGATCGATCGAAAGGATATAGTGAGCACAGATTCCAAGCATCCCTGATTCAACCCCCTTTTTTCGTTACTGTTGCAGCAGCTCGTATCTCTATTACGTTGTTTTCGCGCAGCGGGGGTGAAAGAAGAAACTCTTTTCTTTCGCCGGTTAAATTAAGCAGATCTCTTTTCAGAGATTTACGCCCTCGCCAGACGCGGCTGCCGCCTGAATTGAGATTTTCAGAGGCGAGGCTCACCCTCCGCGACCTTATAGCCCCGCCGGAACGGGGGCGAGGGACGATCGCCGGGGAAAATTAGCGATACACCGGGGATTGAGGGTTTTTTTTCTCCTCTTCTTTAAACAAAGTTTCTGCCGTCGCGGAGCGTGACGAGAATTTTAACGCTGGCGTGTGTGTCTGCTTATTCTGTTTAGAATATCGTGAACTTGGGTGGGTGTTATTATTAACAACATGGAAAAATAGTGTTGTTGTTGATAATATTGTTGGATTTTGATATTATTACTTGTAGTGATATTATAATATTATTTTGAATAATATTATTAAGTAATAATATTATTATTTCTAATGATACTATTATAATATTATTTTGAATAATACTATTAAGGACTAGTATTATTATTTCTAATGATATTATTATAATATTATTTTGAATAATATTATTAAGGACTAATATTATTATTTATAATGATATTATTACAATATTATTTTGAATAATACTACTAAGGATTAATATTATTATTTCTAATGATATTACTATAACATTATTTTATTAATTAGATATTAGTAAAATAACGATTAATAAAGTCGATGAGCAAAAAGATAAGATAAGTTCTCGGCATTTTGCCTAACGTCTCTATTTACTTTGTTCTCGTGTTAACACTAGAACTACTAAATTTCACTCTTGTTTTTGTTCCATATAACTCCGCATTTATTTGTGCCTATTCTACATAATATTCACAAATATTTGTATAATGAAGATATTATTTGCCTTTCGTTACACAAACGATCACTAATTTACATGAAGTATAACATATGTTTGCCTTTCAGTCTCCTAGTTATTGCAAATTAATCAAATTCGGTGAGATTCGACCATTGGACAACTGAAATTGCATTGATAATCGTATCAACCGAGAAATAACAGAAACCATTTAATTCCTCCATCTCCGTTCTTTATTAAACCTTTAATTACGTGACCACCATTCAAACGAGGGTACCATTTTTTTCAAATACACCAAGAGAATCGAACGTTGAACGTCCCGAGCTATTAAAGACAATCGTTAATAACTCTCAGTCCGATTATCGGGACGTCAGTCGATCCGAGATATTTTGTGACGAATATGCGTCGTTGTATAATGCATTTACCATTGTTATTGATTACTGTAATTGTCACTCGATTCGTGGGTACCTACAGCGGCGTTCAAAAGTTATTCCGGCTAGATCGTTTTTGGAGCTTTTCTTTCACAATAAAGACTTCAAAAACTTCTTACATATTTCTTTCACATATTTATACATATTTCTTTATAAATAAACAATAAATAAGGTGGGAATGGATGTATTTGAGTGTGAGAACATATATATTAATGAGTGATGAATGTGTGTGCAATAGATGAATGACGCGACTGTGTGTAAGCGCGTTTTGAATGAACGTTCAAAGCACTGGAATATTCTAGACTAAATTGATTTTCTCTATATTGATTTTTATGTTAATAATGTTCGTTTTTATGAATCTAAAATATTCCAAATATACGCGAAGTTAATGCATGGCAATGAAAGAATGTTCTAGAAAGTTTGCGAGTGAGACAAGAGCATCTGAGTCTATAAATAGTGTGTGAGTTGTTTGATTTGTTGATTGCTTTATTGTGAGTTGTCATGAAATAATTATACTGTTTCAAATAAAATTCTCTTTCTCCTACAATAATAATAATAAACCTTGGAACGCGCCAATTTAGTTATTTAACACTAAAACTACCAGATGCGTCAAAATGATTCCTGATTCCTTCTCGCAATTATTAAAAACATAACAGACGTTTCTCTAAGAAATTATTCAAGAAATCAGTTTACCATTACGCAAACTGAATTGCAAATGCATTCAAGTTTCTTCTATTAGATGCACTCTTGGAGTTTCTACAGACGAATTCCAAAATGTCAATTTAACTGCTCGGTTTTAGAGTTAAACACAACTATGAAATAGTACGGCTTTTTTCTAATATTCATCCATGTAAATATATTCTTATTTATTATTTAACACGTTGACTGCCAGAATTTCAAGTGTTTCGTTACTTAGTAAGATTTATTCCTTTATAATACAGGAGAATCGTATTAAAAACAATTAATCATATTTCAGCATTACAGTGCTCATATTACATTATCTAGCTTCTTTTGATACTGAATATTTCGATTCAATAGTAATTTTCTTGTAATTTTCAAGCAATTTCCAGCGAACGTGTTAACAGAAATTCCTTTTAACCCCCTATGGGCCGAATTTTGTTCCGTGATTATAATAAAATTTATGCAGTATGAAATTAATAAATATCAACATATAAACACAAATTAACAATGTATTCAGCAGTTTTAATAATTTCATTGAAACGAATATATTTTGTAACTTTGAAGTTAAAATAACGTTGAACGTAAATGCCTGTGTGTACAAAAGTTTAAGTTAATTAATTATTTAATGTCGTTCGTAATTTTGCAATAAAAAATTAAATAAATCAATTGATGTGTGACTTCGAAGTCACACGAGCCTATAGAGGGTTAACTCAGTCTATCAAAGAAACATTCCAAAAACGATCTGGAAACTTTCAAACGCCACTGAATATACACCTGCGTTTCGATATAATCATTACTGAATTACTATCCAAGTTTACACTTAACACTAGAACTACCGAGCATTTGATACGATCGAAATGTAATCGCTATGAATATTCTAGCAACAGATTATTTTCGGTTTCTTCAGACATTCGTTATAGTATTCAAGTGAAACTATTTTCAAAATCATTTCGAATATTCAATGCTTCGAAGATATCAATAATTGCGAAACAGGAAAACTGAGACCAGTCATGTTAACTGGCACGGTAGTTCTAGTGTTAAGTTATTTACGGCGTAATTCCAATTGAACTTTTCGCGTCGAGGAATTAGGGGATGGATGTCCCGGCGCGCCGGGCGTGCGTCGCAGAGAAATTGCAACAGATTACAGAGCGTTGATTGGGTTAACGCCGGTGTGCAGCTGAAATTGATCACGACGCGGATTGATGAGAGACTTACAGTTTTGTAAAACATGCAGGCTTTCCTGTCCTCGTCCTCGCCGCCGCCTGGACAGTCTATGAAGCCATCGCACAAGGCGTGATCGTCGATGCAATGGTATCTGCCCATCCTGTCCGCGGTGGGACAAGCGAACCTTTCCATCCCGTCGTCCGAGCTCGGGCAGTCTGCAAGAACACGAGGAGAAAGAACATCAATCGAGGAAATTACAGAGGCTGATCAAAAAGCTGGGACCATTCGTGTCATTCGTGAGAGAGAGCAATCCGAGCTTTGTCCGGTTGCTCCCTTGTATTCAGTTTTTCGAACTCAGACTGGATTTCTTTGCTCGTCTCTTGAGAAATTATTATTAGATTGTCTTCTCGAGTTTCAATACTGTACGAATAATCACAGAACTGACAATCTTTTCACACGACTCGACAAACGACAAACTATGACAAATTCAATCACGCTCTCCATTTATACTCGCATCTTTCACACACCTTCCACATTCTTCCGTCACCGTGCACCGATCCCATGTACATTTGGAATATTCCAGTTTCGTTAGGCTGAACGTAGAAAAATCAATATTAGTAAAAATCAATATATTCTGGAATATTCCATGAACATTCACACATATGCATACGTCATTCATCTATTGCATACACGCACATTCTACATTACTCACACTTTCATCTATTGTACACACATTCTTTGTTACCCACAGTAGTATGACCTTTAACCCCTTGACTTACAATGTCGTATCACTCGTGACGAAAATTTTAAATTGATCTTGAGTAACCTAAGTATTATTCATTTTTTAAAAATATAGAGTTTTACTTTTCTATTATCGATCGTTGAGCTTTGGAGTAAACGTGGAGAGAATGAACATCGAAATTTGTTCTTTTCCTAATAAATTATTAACGATGAAATATTTGTAACGATTATAGTTCAGAAATAAATCATAAATAAATCATATGTATTATAGCTAGTGGTCGACATGCAGCTACTTTGGAAACGCTATTTGTTTGGTAGACAGCTTCTCAAAGTGAAATGATTCCCTCTGCTCATTGCAGAGATATATGTTATACAATATATAATATATTAGGTTGTAATATATGAAATCTCCGATTTTTAATTCGATTTTTATACAAATCCGGCGTTCTAGTGTTAATAAATCCTTCAATGCTGTCTTCAACGTTTTCTTGATTCCTGCAGGTTGTCTCTGAGGAAGCGACTGGAATGTTTAACCCTTAGCAATCCAGGTTGTTTTGTAATCTATCAGCAACTGCAACTAATTCTTATAGTATTCCTAGCGAAAATGAGAAATGCTATAACATTTCTTCGATTTTTTATTTTCCCTCTTAGTACAAAATTTGGATGTGTGGAGAATCTAATAATTTTAGGGTAGTTTCTTTGATTCATTAAAATATTTGATATTATAACTAGTGCAATATTGGAGCCTACAGAGTTTAAAGGGTTAAAACAGTGGAAATCCGACGGTGACAGATCTGGAGAATACAGGGGATGAGGTTAAATTAGCGAACAAAACAAGGGAAGGCCAAATCTGGCAAAGGAAGGTCAGATCTCGAAGTTAGATATAAAATGTCCAAAAATTTTCGTGTTTCTCGTTAAAACAAAAGTATTGATAAACCAAAATCAAACATTTTATATTTTACAACCTAATATATTATATAATATACTCCAGATACGATATGTATTAAAGACACACTAAAGCAAGGGATGAAATAATGGCAAATAAAAACATAAAAGAATGCTGGTACTGAATATTCTCGTTTCGGAAGACTTATATACACATTTTTCGTTGATTTACATATATTGCGCCGTTCAACAGACAGTTCTTTTCTATTTTCATTGAATTAAGTGGTAAGAGAAGTAAACGAGTACCGCCGTTAGCATATTTTCCCAAGCAATCGTGGGACTTTCGTCGATTTACATCGGTTCTCACGATTTTCCGTTTGCAGCGGTTGCGTTTCGTGACCGGCAACCCCTGCGGTATTATTGTAACATCATTTCCGTCACGGTCCGTATAATGTTTCTATTACATTGTTCAGCAGCATCGATCGCTACTATTTTTATGCAAAATCGACGCAACCCCCGAAGGATCACCGTGTCTTTGCGCGAAATTCACTGCAAGCTTGCTTTCCAAACGCCCCGACGTATGCAAACCGAAGCCATCGGGAAAATATCAAGGTTCGTATCAATGTTTTCGTTTCATCGATTTACAGCGTACATTTTGCAACGCATCTTGCTGCTGCGTCGAATCGTGAACTCCGTGATTATCGTTACACTTAATTGAATTCGTAGAATCGTTGTATTTAGAATAATTCTGTTGAAGAATAGAGTGATGATTAACCCCATGCACCCTCTGTTCCATGCAGTAAAATTATAAATTGTATTATTAATCAAAGTATCAATTCAATTATTAATTATCATTACAGTATTATGAATTATAATTATAATTTGACATTCGATATTACATTCTGTGTAACGTACGAAGACACGAAATACAGAAATCATTTTATACCTTAATTCTCCATCGTTGAACTGTATTCTTTTCCGAAATATCTTTCAATGTTATATCAAAACTACATAACAAGAGAATGAATTATAAAAATAGAATAAATTGAACAGTATAAGTAATAGATATGATATTTATTTCAACGGAAGATCAATGATCTATGGTTAAAACCTTTGCTCTATGATTTCTTTTTCCATTGTGATCAATACAACCACTTTAATAATTTATCGAAAGAACAAAGAAATCCTCGGCATATTCTACGTCCATGTTTATCCCATTGATTATAATAATTGCTAACAGAAGGATAATATTTAATTTGAATTCAAGAAAACTCAGCGATAACGTTTATCAAACTTTCTTCGGAATCTGCACATTGTACGGGTTAATTTGTTAGTTTACCAAGAAAATAACAAATGTTTCCTAGTGAGTAGTGTCCTGGATGCATAGGATTAATGAAATAAAGGAACAATTAAAATATTAGAATCGGAGGAATTTCTTTTTCTTCGTTCTTCCCGTTATTATTTTCTGATTCGACCATCAACTTATTCGTGCCAGATCGATTAGGGTGCGAAACCGCTTCGAGGTAACATCATTCCTGGAACTTCGAACCTCATCAATGAAAAAAAGGGAATAAGGAATCGCATTACGTAAATAAATACCTCCGCCGTTCGTCGGTT